GGCCCATGTTTCCAAGGTTACATATAAATGACACAGGCAAAGGAGGGCCAAGAGCACCTCCAAGGAACAAGATGGCTCTTTATGAACAACTTAGTATCCCTTCTAATAGATTCACTCATTCTGCAGCCAGTTTGGTTCGTCCTTCTGGCCAGGTGATTTTTATGTTTTTTATTTTTTTCTTATTCGGTTGAATTCATGTCCTCTTGATTAATGCATCATGAGTTTGTTTCTTTTATGTAGTGTATGAATATTTTGGCTTGATTATCTCGCTGATATCGTGAATACTATGAGCTGATCGACACCAAAATATTACAAATGGTGTATTTCGTGTGTAATGTAGTATTTATTTTCTCTGCCGGTTGCATTCTTTCATATGGTGATTAGTTTCAAACTTTTGTTAGAAAAGGCATAAATGATCTGCATGCTAGCTAGAGAAACACAAATTTGGACTTTATGGATGATACAAAAGTGTTGATTATATTTTTTCTTTATTAGAATTGAAAAAAAAAAAAAATAACAAAAATAGTTTGTTGGTGTTCTCAAATGCCACGTAATATCTAAAACCAGTATGCACCGTGTGCGTTAAACGGCTTGTGTAAGATTTACTATCGATTTTCCGAACTACCTGATACTCAATTATGTTTTACCTCTTCTGCAATTTGCAATGTATCACTTTCTTTATAAACGTAAAGTTCTTCCAAACTGATTAAAGTTCTTCCAAATTGCAATGCTTTGCCTCTTCTACAAATTGGCGACCAATCAGATTAAAGCCTTCTCGACTTCATCAGCCGAAGAGAAGGTTGAAGTTTTGAAGAAACATACGGATAGTTCTGGCGAGTTGAAAAATAATAACCGTGTAGAGTACAACCCTGACACCGGAAGGTGCAACCCCTCTATACTGGACGGTAATATCGTGGCATTGGAAGGAAGAAGTGAGTCTACCTCAGTTATGGATTTTCCATCCAAGGGTCAGGATATTTTGCATGATATAAGTGAATCTACATCAGTTATGGATTTTCAATCCGAGGGTCAGAATAATTTACATGATATCAGTAATAAAACGGATTTTAAAGACAGTCCATGTCAATCACAGCAGATGAAAATTTTGGAAAGAGTTGATAGTTTGTCTGAAAATTCTGTGGTGGATTCAATCTCCAGACTGGATGTAATGCCCGATGATGTGGTAGGATTAATAGGTCAGGAACATTTTTGGAAAGCAAGAAGAGAAATCATTAAGTGAGTAATTGTGTTTAGTTTTGTTCTTCCGTTTTCTTGTTTTGCTGTTTAGAGCATTTGGAAGAGATTCAACAGTTTTTCGTACATGCAGCTTTTGATATTTGTTGCGTCAATGATACTGTTAAAATGTGTGTATAAAAAGCGTATTTTTAAATACAAGGATTTCTTGGACCATCTGTTTTGTTAAATATGGTTTTAAAGTTGTTTTGTGATCTCTTGTTTTACGACTTATTCGTTGCATGTTCCTTGCATAGCCATATTAGAAATTTTCCTTGTCATATACATGCTAAAGATGCATATAATCTGTTAGTTCCTTACTACAGCCACCATTGATCAGATTTGGGAAACTATAGTGTCTCTCTTGCTTACCATTTTCACATTCTTGTTTGCAGTCAACAAAGAATTTTCGCCGTTCAAGTATTTGAATTGCATCGACTGATAAAGGTAAAGTTAATTATTGCTTTATCCAGTTCTTATAAATACTGATTATCTCTTTTCTTCTACTTCATTCTTTTTATCAATTTCAAGAACCTGATGGGCTGTGAGGGTTAATTTCTTCATCAGGTCCAGAGACTGATAGCTGCATCACCACAAATTTTGCTCAAGGATTTCATTTTCACCAAATCAATCAAAGCTTCTCCTGGAAAAAGAAAATCCTTAAATGATCCCGTGAAAAAAAGCCTGCACGTTTCCAAATCGAAAGGCAGACCCAAGAAGCTGGTTCACAAGACCAAAATCACTGCAGAAAATGCTTCGAAGAAGAAAATATCTTTTGCTTCCACTCCAAACGGGTCACAGCCTCCGAGCTTCAATTCCGGGCCATGGGGCTTTAGTCCTCAGCCGCTCGGTAACCATTGGTTGATCCCTGTAATGTCCCCTTCTGAGGGGCTGGTTTACAAATCGTACCTTGGGCCCGGATTAATGGGCCCAGCCTACGAAGGATATGGGCCGCCCGGGTCAAGCCCACTGATGTGCAAGTTTCCAAATCCAATGTATGGAGTCAGGGGCCCGCATAGCGGCATGCCGGTTACGAGCTGGCCTGCATTTTCGAGCTCTTCCACCGGACAATCGAGCGGGACACCCTTCTTGGACGGGGCTTTGGCCCGGGATGTGACGGCCCACCAGAAGCCCAACTTTAATTCGACTGAGGACGTTGAAACACAAGCTAGCTTTGAGAGTAGGAGCGTGCTTCCACTTTTCCCCACGTCCCCAACTAGGGATGGGCCGAAATCTGGCCCGCTGAAACTCGAGCCCAAGGGCCCGACTCGTGTGATCAAGGTTGTGCCTCATAATGTGAGGTCTGCAAGTGAATCTGCTGCTAGAATTTTTAAGGTGATACAGGAAGGAAGAAAACAAAATTGATTTGCCTTAAACCTTTTGATATCTTGTTGGATTTACTGACCTGCCCAGCTCGGCTGCGCTAATGAACATTGTCCTTGTGTGTGCAAGTTTTATAGATATGGTGTTGGATTAAGTGTGTGCATGACAGTTAAAGTTAGTTAACAGGTTTAGTTTATTTTTACTGACATTTCCTTGTATTTTCTTCATAGGTGACTGTAAACATGTCGAAATTGATTATTTTTTTCATATAAATAGTCCGTAGTTGGTGTAGAATATTATTATTATTATTATTATTATTATTATTATTATTATTATTATTATTATTATTATTATTTTTGTTGGTGTAGAATATTATTATTATTATTATTATTATTATTATTATTA